CCCCAAAACCCCAAAACCCCGTTAGCAAATCAAATTTGAATTACCTGAGAAATAAATTAAGCATATTTTCTAATTTAATATTAAAGCATCTTTAGTATATTAAAGGAATTTTACTAAAAGTTGAGCTAGTTTAGTTTACTCAGTAATATCTTGATTTTAAATGTGATTCATTTTTTGTCAATTAAGCTACACTCACTGTGCATATATCGATGAGAAATTTATAATGGTGCTATTCAAATGCTCAAACCTTTCTTTACTTTATTATTGTCGTTGCCTTTATCATATTTATCAGCTTTTGGAGATTCTTTTGTTCCGATCAAGTTAAGCTCCTCGAATTCAGCAACTGATCCATCATTTGGATTATCCTCTTAGCCTAAAATAGTATGATCGTGAATACTGTTCCCTTCCTTGAACCTTGAAGGTGCAATTGTAATCTAGTTTTTATTAAGAATACCTCTCTCTTTAATTCTTCTGATAATGAAGATTATGCACATAGTTATTAAGAATATACCAAGACCTCCTGCCGTAATGGTGCCAGTTATAATCCTTCTCACTTCAAAATTTTCAGTTTCAAAAAATACCTCTCTTAGAATTGTACTTCTAAATTTAACTCTAGTGTTTGTCTAATTCACCTTAGGAACTGCTAGCACCCAAGTCTTATTATAGATGGGAGCATAGATTGTAGTATTTGAAACAAATTTAGCTGCAACTGTATAGGCCTTTTCTCTATTATATCCTGATAAAACATAAACATCCATATTGGTAACATTATCGAAAATGATTTGAATCTCAACATTATAGTAGTCACCTTTATTCATTGATGATCGTATCTCCCAGATGCAAGACTACCCAATTGCTCTCTTAATTCCAGATGCTTCAGTTTCAAATACTTTGGTTTCAGTTGAAAGATCTTATATTTTAAGTTAGTCTCCACATTGATTTGCAGTTAAAACTAAACATGAAGCGTAGTAAAAATCATGATTATGTTCATCTTCTGTGCAGCTAATGGCGTTTGCTGTATTACTCATACACGCTTCGTCTGTGCTAAATTCAGGACAACAAGCTCCAAAAGTATTGTTATTGTTGCAGTAAGAAAAATCAGGGTATTTTGATTTACAGCTATAACAGTCAAGAGGTGAAAAGCCCACAAGTGGATCGTTTAAAGTCTTATTAGTTGTACTCTATCCTATTCCAAACAGCATAACAGTCACTAATATAGTTGACTTTAAATATTTCAGATTTTTTGAGCGAGTTTATTACTGTTTATGCAACATTAAGTTCATTTTGTTTAAGTAGCCAATTATATGAATAATTATAATTTGTATTATTCTACAAACTAAAATAACTTTATCTAACCTCGTATGGGGTTTTGGGGTTTTGGGG